TTTTTTTTTATTTTTTTTAATGTTTCTTCAAAAATTTTGCAAGTTTAATTGGGATAAAATTTCAAGAGGGTTTGTCAAGAATGACTGAGAACGCTTCTTTGTTTCTCAAATCTGGGTGTGCTGGAGTCTACCGGATGTGGGGTGTTTTTATTGTGTTTTTTTTTTTATTTCTTTCTTAGCTCACTGATCAAGAAGTATGTATGTAAATGTATGGTCTTGTTTTATTGATACACTATCGTCATGGAATTTCCTTTTTTCCTTTTGAAATTTTTTCTCCTGTTCTGCTATAAAAAGAACGTTTCATCATCTCAATTTGATGAGGCCACCGTATTTATTGATACACGTTTCTCAATAACTGGATGTAAAGATTGCTTAAAGATTGTTGATTTTATGTTTGTTGTTTATTAAGGAGAACTAATTATGGTTGGTGAAGAGGGTGGTTGTGTAGTGGTGATTCTGGTTAGGGGAGTGGTGGTTGGGCGGTTCTGTTCAAGGAGGAGCAGATGGTAGACATTGACAAAGAAGGGAATTGAGATTTTTTATTTATTTTTTATTTTTAGTTTTGTCATTATGATAATATAATAAAAAAATTGAATTATCATTTTTTTCCAAATCCAAATGGTCTACCAAACAAGACTATTGGATTCACGAATCCATGAACATTTTGAATCCAATCCATCATCATTCAAATCCGTTTCCTGATCTGTTCCCAGTTGATAAAACAAATGGTTCATTAAAGTTGATGATGCTTTCGGTCTTGAATCATTATATTCACATGTTGCCTCTCCCATAAACTATCTTCTTCATTATAATTACTAAGGTACAAATTGATAATAATCATATAGCCTTCCATGGTGATTCTCGTAGTGAGGGGAATGAGCTAGTCCTTCATTTCAATTTTGGAATGCCAAGTTTACTTTGCAGGCCAATAAAGGAAGAAATGATGGATCTTGACTACCTATGTGATAGGGAGTTAGTTCAAGAGAGCTATGATCAAGATGATGAAAATATCATTAACTTTGGGGTTCAAACCAAAGGAGATGATGACCTCATGGAAATAAGTGCTCAAGAGTATCAAGAGAGTTTGACTCTATGTGCTCCATGAAGATCATTGATCAAGCTACTGAGAAGAGTCATTTAGGTTCTTGAATGGACGGCCTATTTAATTAAAGTGTTCAAGATTGAGTCTATTCCTACACAATTGGATAGGTTGCAAACTATCCAAATTGTTTCAAGTGTTTTTCCAATCTTTTGGAGTCAATAAAGAGAATTCTACAAGTGTTGGAGTAAATTGGAGTTTTCTACAACTTAAGGGGCGCAAGACCAATATTCCACTTTTGGAAGGGCCTTCAAGACATTTTACTTCAATAATTTGGAGCTGATTTTCGAGATTTAGAGGTTGTCTAAGTCTAGGAGTTATTTTTGAAATTTTATCTAGTTAGATAAGCCATGTGGTCTGAATAAAGCTAGAGTGTTTTGATTAAGAGTCTTAGATTCCTTCTAGATATTATCCTAATTGAGGATAAATCATTTAGACAGGGTTTTCTAGATTTTAAATAGAGTCAAACAGATTAAATACTCTTCTACTTCTACTCCTTGTGAGATAAGATTAGAGAGTCGTAATTGATCTTCTTCTCTTGGTGCTCGCCGAAAATTTAAGCCTATAAATAGGGGGCTTGGCCAAAAATCAAAAGCACCCTTGAGTGGTCATTTTTGTTGTCTCTTTTGAGAGTTTTTCCTGTGAGGAATTTTTGTTAAATGGAGTGTCCATTTTTCGTGTCAAGTATGATTTAACCAAGAGGGTTTTCATCTTGTCTTGGATCTGTTGATCTTGCAGAAACCGTTCCTTTTCAAGTATGCTTCTTGATAGAATTATTTTAAAACAAAACTTCTTATTTTCATACTACTTCTAGTAGTTCGATTGATGAACCGTTCTTTTGGCTTGGTGTTCGAATTTCATGATGAGTGTGTTCATGAGTTCTATAGTGGGGTTTGTCCTACTTTTGTTGGATGAGTTGTGTTTTGGCATAAGTATTTTGAGATAGTGTATGTGTTGCATCTTGGTTGGTTATGAAGATTACTAATCAATAGTATTCCTTCATAGTTGAGCATTATTTGCTCCTACCTTTCTTGAGTCTATTGAATGATGACTGATCGAATATATTGAATGGTGTCGTTTGTATTCTTAACGTGGGTTGTTGTTTAATTCGAATCTTTCATGGATAATGTGTTCTTTGCTTGGTTTGAGTTAAGAGATAGAATCACTTAGATAAACGATCGTCTTACTGTAAATTTTTCACATTCTTTTGAGTTTCACGGGATAGACAAATTATCTTCATACTTTCTTGTTTGATGGTTGCATTAACGAAATTTGCTTCATCTACGAGATTGCTGTCAGTTTCTTAGTATCAGAGCTTGGACTATCTTAGTGATAGTATTAATTGATATTATCATATCAGTTTCTATTATCAGTTTGATTTTTGAAAGACTTCTTCTTGATTGAGGACTTCATAGTTCTTGGTTTTGAGAATATCTTGAGTTTCCACAGACTCCGTTATTTGGTGTGGTAATCAAGCTTGGTGCTACTAACGAGTAGTACTATCTTTATTTGTTTCAAGGTTCCTTCTTGTTGCAGAATGGGTTTTGAAAAATAAATCAAATTCTTGTGAAAACTACGTTTTCAAAATTGATCTTGTCTTTTGTGTGGTTGTGCGAGACTTCATACACATTTGTTTGATCTTGTGGTGTTATTTTGGGGTCTATGCAAGAGCTTGATGATGGTACATTGGTATCTAGTCAAAGTGGGCGCTACATCTTGAAATTTATCCTTGATTTGCAAGTAGAGAACTGTTTCTCCTATGAGCAAGTTAGTGGATCTTATGTGTTGGATCTTTAAGGAGAGAATTGATGCCAAAGAAGAGCTTCTTGCTCGAGATAGCCTTTTCTTTCTAAAAGGATGTCTTTACATGAGGAGGATTGGAGATTTTATCTTGTGGTAAATATCTTGGATCTATTCTTTGAAAAGGTGAAGCTTAGTGATTTTGTACTTTCTACATAAAGTATAAATGAAAAAGCCTTCCTTCTTGTTGGTTCTCATTTGAATCTAATGAGTAAAATGGAATTTATGAATTTTCAATCAATGAGAATTTCATAAATTTCCGATTGTTGGTCATTTTCTTTTTGTTTAAATCTTAGTGTCAAAAGATTTTTTTTCAAAAGTAACAATTTTGGGTCTTTTGTTTTCTCGAGTCTTATACTTTGAGAATGAGTTGAATTAGTGGATCTTCCTATCATTGGACTTTCCATGATTCTTAACTTGAGTTTCAAAACTTTCTTTATCATTTGATGAGGGATGAATTTTAGTGATATCAGTTTTGGTATCAAAGTGTTTAAAGGTCTTTGAAGTTGATTTGTGCCAGCTTTAAGGGTTAAAGTCTTTGACTTGTATTTAAAACCTTGATTTTCGAAAGTTGAATCGAGAATTAAGTGAACTTTTACTAAAGATTTTCTTATTTATAACAAGAAATCTTATAGGCTTTGAGATATATTCTTGAAGTTTACATATTTGGTCTTTGGAAAATTTGATTTTCAAATTGTCACTTGTGAAGATGGCATTGTTGAGTCATTGAGTTTTAAGAATGGTTTGTATTAAATTGAGTACTATGAAGCAAATGTCATAGTTGAATGACGAACTTTAATTTCCTACGTCATTATACTTATGGTATTCTTGTTACTTTATTTGCCATAGATTGTTTTGGTAAAAAGTGATTATTGTTAATTCCATATATGATTTGGAAAAGGGTTTTTAGAAAGATTCTAAAAGTTGTTGTCCATTTTTGGAAAGTGGTAATTTTCAAGTTTCCTTTTTAAAGTGAGTCAAAAATAATTTTTCAAATTTTAACTATGTGGTAAAATGTTAATAGCCGAATTTTTGCTGACTTATTACATGTGTGCGTGCGATTTATGTGGAATTCTAAGCCTAGTTGGTTTTGAATTTTAGAGTCATAGTATAGCCGAAATTGGAAGCTAAAAATTCAGGTTTCCTAGTCATAGTTGAACTTGAATTTTGTTATCTATTTGTGTTACACTTGGAGACTTATTTGGTCTTGGATTATTGTGTTCACATGGCCAAAAAATTTAGCCCTAAATTTAAGGTCATTGAGTCCAAATTGGGTTATGATTTGAGTCCTATTCGGTTTTGGATTTTTGTGTTCACATTGGCCGAAAATTTGCAGCCATTGTTTCCAAATTGTAATACAATTTTATTTTGTGTTTTATTTGAGTCCTACTTTGATTTAAATACTAATTTTTGCATGTGTTAAATTATAATTTCAGTGAGATTATAATTAGAGTTTTAAAGTAAGTCTATTTTAGAAAACTATTGAGATAAAGAGGTCTTATCCTAATCTGAAAATTTTTTAGTTTTCTAATACAATTGTGCATGTTTGTGGCCGTGTATTTGAGTCCCATTAGTAGTAGGGGGTCGAAAATTTTATCTCTAATAAGTAGGGATGAATTTTCCTAATTTGTGTCCAAAAAGGATTATGTGTACCTAAGTTTTAGGACTCTATCCTTGTCTATATATATGAGGCCGGTTTTTCTTCTTCTTTATTCCATATGGTCGAGCAGATTTAATCCATTAAAGGGGGGAATATTTTTGAGAAAATTTAGGTCCTATCTTGTAGGAGTTTTTTTGCACAAAAAGACTTGCATTGCCTATAAATAGAGGTGCTGTTTTTTCGAAAAAATTCTCACCCCACTCTACTCCAATCTTCTTCTTCTTCTTGCAGCCAAGATCAAAAGTGAAAAACAAGAGAAGCACTCTTCTCTTTATTCTGAAATTTTGAGAGTTAGTGTTATTAAAAGCACAAGAGAGTTTTTGTTTTTGGGGAGAGCTTTATTCGAACTAAACTTTGGTTCTAGGGTTCAAGGAGTTTTTGTGTAGTAACCAAGGCAAATTACTTCTTTTGTTGGTGGTTTCTCAGAGTTGTTGAGCAAAGATGTCATCCGGAGTTGCTGGTTGTACTCAAGTTTCTTCAAAGAGTGTAGAGGGTCACATGGAGGCTCAAGTGCAGCTCATGAAGAGTCATATTAACTACTTGCATGATGCTTTGGCCGAGGTGAAGGAGACAAACCTAGACTTGTCTCAATTGCTTTCAAATCAACAAGATAAAGCTATGGTAAGTTTTGAGAAAATTGCTGAAAATTTAAGAGTCTTATGTGATCGTTTTGAAGTAAAACAAGTACCCTCATATGCTGGAATGTTGCAAGTGTCATTGCCTTAGCTATAGGTTGTTTTCGTTCTAGTGCTTTGAATTGGTGGAAACTAGTTTCAAATATCTATTCACATCATTGGTACCGTAATTTGGATGATTGGCATGATTTGAGGAATGCTTTGCGAGAAAGATATGTTGGTATTAACACCTTTGATGAAGCAAAAGTGAAGTTGCTCAATTGTAAGCAGAGTGGTAGATCCATTCAATCTTACTTTGACGAATTAGAAGGGTTGTTTCTGATTTCAGAAGTGGATGAGAATGACTACATATTGACAGATCGTTTCCACTATGGCTTGGACAAGGGGTTCAAACAACACCCAAAGATAAGGAGGCAATCGAGGCTCTATGAGGCATATTATGCTGCCTTAGAAGTGGAGAGAGCATGATACTTCTTGTGGTTGGAATGGTCCAATTGAGGATCAAGGGTTGGTGATCGGCGCTGAAGATGGTGATCAACGGACATGTATCTTCTGTACCAAGTGTTCGGTTGGGTGGTCCAATGAAGTTGATTTGGTAATTGACGGTGAGTCGAGTACTGATTGTATAAGTGAGGAATTTTGCATAGCAAACGGAATCAAGATGGATCCGCATACTAGACCATACAAGCTTCAATGGTTGAGAGAAGAGATGGTTGTGGATGTCACTAAGAAGGCCATGGTATCTTTTCAAGTTGGTGAGTATAGGGATGAAATTTACTTTGATGTAATTCCTATGTCTCTTTGTTATATTTTGCTAGATAGGCCTTGGCAATCAGATGTAGATGTTGTGCACCATTGCTCGAAGAATATCATTGTCTTTACTAAAGAGGACATAAAGGATATTCTTAAGCCTTTGGCTTATGAAGAAACTGAATCTGTGCGAGAGAAAAGACGTAAGATAACCTATACACAAGGGAGAGAAGGAGTCAAGAGAGTGACGCAAGAAAGTAAAAAGGGTCATGCTGAGGTAAGACTTGAGGCAAGAGAAAACCATGAAAATAGCGTGCAAATAGAAAAAAATGAACGCAATGAGAGAAAATCAGAGTGTGGTGAGGGTGAGGATTTTACTAACCCTTATATCTCGTTTGTTCCTTGTGCAGGTATAGAGGTTGATGATTCGAGGACGAATCCTCTTAAAGAAGGAGGGGATGATGAGAATCATATAGCCTTCCATGGTGATTCTCCTTTTAAGGGGAATGATCTAGTCCTTCATTCTAGTTTTGGAATGTCAAGTTTACTTTGCAGGCCAATCAAGGAAGAAATGATGGATCTTGACTACCTATGTGATAGGGAGTTGGTTCAAGTGAGCTATGATCAAGATGATGAGAATGTCATTAACTTTGGGGTTCAAACCAAAGGAGATGATGACCTCATGGAAATAAGTGCTCAAGAGTATCAAGAGAGTTTGACTCTGTGTGCGCCATGAAGATCATTGATCAAGCTAGTGAGATGAGTCATTTAGGTTCTTGAATGCACAGCCTATTTGATCAAAGTGCTCAAGATTGAGTCCATTCCTACACAATTGGATAGGTTGCAAACTATCTAAATCGTTTCAAGTGTTTTTCCAATCTTTTGGAGTCAATAAAAAGAATTCTACAAGTGTTGGAGTAAATTAGAGTTTTCTACAACTTAAGCGTCGCAAGACCAATATTCCACTTTTGGAAGGGCGTTCAAGAGATTTTACTTCAATAATTTGGAGCTGATTTTCGAGATTTGGAGGTTCTCTAAGTCTAGGAGTTATTTTCAAAAATTTATCTAGTTAAATAAGCTATGTGGGCTGAATAAAGCTAGAGTGTTTTGATCAGGAGTCTTAGATTCCTTCTAGATATTAACCTAATTGATGATAAGTCATTTAGATAAGATTTCCTAGATTTTAGATAGAGTCAAAGAGATCAAATACTCTTCTACTTCTACTCCTTGTGAGATAAGATTAGAGAGTCCTAATTGATCTTCTTTTCTTGGTGCTGTCCGAAAATTTAAGCCTATAAATAGGGGGCTTGGACAAAAATCAAAAGCACCCTTGAGTGGTCATTTTTGTTGTGTCTTTTGAGAGTTTTTCCTGTGAGGAATTTTTGTTAAATGGCGTGTCCATTTTTCGTGTCAGGTATGATTTAACCAAGAGGGTTTTCATCTTGTCTTGGATCTTTTGATCTTGCAGAAACTGTTCTTTTTCAAGTATGCTTCTTGATAGAATTGTTTTAAAACAAAACTTCTTATTTTCATACTACTTCTAGTAGTTTGATTGATAAGCCTTTCTTTTGGCTTGGTGTTCAAATTTCATGATGAGTGTGTTCATGAGTTCCATTGTGGGGTTTGCCCTACTTTTGTTGGATGAGTTGTGCTTTGGCATAATTATTTTGAGATAGTGTATGTGTAGCATATCTTGGTTGGTTATGAATATTACTAATCAATAGTATTCCTTCATAGTTGAGCATTATTTGCTCCTACCTTTCTTGAGTCTATTGAATGGTGACTGATCTAATATATTGAATGGTCTCCTTTCTATTCTTAGCGTGGGTTGTTGTTTAATTCTAATCTTTCATGGATAATGTGTTCTTTACTTGGTTTGAGTTAAAAGATAGAATCACTTAGATAAACGATCGTCTTATTGTGAATTTTTCGCATTCTTTTGAGTTTCACGAGATAGACAAATTATCGTCGTACTTTCCTGTTTGATGGTTGTATTAACGAAATTTGCTTCATCTGCGAGATTGCTATCACAAATGGGGGCACAATGTCCCAATGTTTTTCAAAATTGGTCATGCTTTGCCCATTGGGCCAGGGAGTGAGCATAAACATTGAATCGACGACTAATTAAATGGCTGTCAAAACTTAGAAAATTTTCAGACAGAACTTTAATATTAGCCAGAATGTATTTTGAATCTGATAAGCCTGCTATGTCCCAGTCTAAGCCTTGAATTATGGTTGAGGAATCACCCACCAGTGTTATCTGAGTGAGGCCTAGTGTTAGAGCGAAGGCAATTCCTTCCTAGCAGCTAGGCGTTCTATAACTATTGAGGTGTAAAAACATGACAGTCCCCTCGCAAGACATTTTTGGAATCCAGTGGTGGTGTTCCATATTAGAATTCCGATTCCACAGGAATTATTACTCGCGTTTGTCGCACCATCAAAGAAGACCAGGATGCCATTTACATTGACCAAGGTGTTAAGGGAGATCTTTTGTGCTGGCGGTTTGATGTGAGCGGAGGAGGTAGTCGATTCCCATATCTCCAGCATGGAGGGCGTTGCATGATGTATACCTGGTAGAATATATTAATTAATAAAACTTATTTCGTTATCGGAGCTGAATCTTTTTTTTTAAAAAAATGCAAATTTGATTGGTAAGTTCAATGTTCGTATTTCCTAGATAAGAGAAAAATGAACTACAAAATGTTATCTATATTACTAAATTATGTTTAAAAAAATTAGTTTAAATATGTGTATATAATGAACACAAACATGAGTTACAATTGTGCACAAATGCACAATAGAGACTAAAATAAACAATGTCTCATTCAAGACCATACAACACATTTTTATGTTTATGAAAAAGTAGTTAAAAAAAAGGAGGGAAATAGCACAAGAAAAAACAGGTGGGGCTATTTTGTTGCATTATATATTTTGGTGATTATTTTTGTCTTTCTTCAGATTATTATAGGTGAATTTTTGTGATCAAATTTACTTACTCCGTTCTAAAATTATTGTCTAGTTTAGATTTTTATTTTTAGCGTAATTTACACAAAGAATGTCCAAACTATGATATCATTTTAGATCCAATGAGTATTATTTTATTTAAACAATATGGAAAATATGTTAAGTTCTCACCATATTTATTTGAGATGTTCATTCTCATCAAGATTAAGAGAAAATCTAATATACATCAGTTGTATCTACATTTTTAGTGCAACCAACCAATAGGGATTAATATTTAGTTTTTTTGGATCCCATGAATTTTTCCCTCTCCCATAAAAATATTACCTTTCCCATTTTTGTTTATAAGATGTACAGATGACGTGATACGGTGATCAGATCAAGATTTACTCCAAAATTGGGTTGGGTTTCATTTGAATTCAAACTAATGTAAAACAGACAGACAAATTACGTAAACAAAGACAATGCAAGTATGAAATCCAAGCCCTCTATTGCGCCTCTATTATGCTGGCTTAGGGCGTAGACTATCTAATGAGATAGTTTAGTCAAACATATATATGGCAAATGGCATACATGAAATCACATTAACACTCTTAAATTAATGAAATTTCGTGTGTTGATTGAAATTTTGTTTGGTTCAGGTCAAAATCCACCGGCTTGCAATAAATAAGATGATAAACTGAATTTCGTTAAATTATTTGTTGCTGTTAAACTCATTGAATCGGCCGGAACTCGGGACTCTTAAGAGGACTGAAATGCATTACCTGACTTATAATCATTTAAAAGCAACAGTTTATTACAACCTCAAATGTTCGTGGATTATGTTTTGGGAATAAATCTAGGAATAAGAAATATTTGAGTTTCTTTGCACCATCATTAATAAATTACTCATTTCGTCTCAAAATTATTGTACACTTTGAATTCTATCTTTTATTTCAATTTGTATGGATTTCATTGTTTCAATTTTATCTTTGCAAGTAGCAAAGGTATCCGACCATGTCCATGCTAATAATGAAGAAAACATTGCATAGGTTAATTTTATCCCCGCAAGAAAAAAGAAAAAAGAATTACTTAATGATAAAACTCTCACTTCAAGGTTTCCATAGTTTGATAAAGCAATCTTGACCAAAAGTGGCTACAAGATTCCTATGGGGATGGTGGGCAATCCCGATCACATCCTCCACCTCCTGAACTGGTAACAAATGCTCTAATTCCCCGGATTGATAGCTAAAGCAGTACAACTTCCTGTCTTCACCAAGACAGTAAATGTAATCTCCTTTACACGATACACAAGCAGCCACAAAATCACCACCTTCTCTTTTATCAGATGAGAAGCTTTTCACAACCTGCCCTTGAAGCGTCATGATATATACCGACGAAGTTTTGTTACAGACCAAGATGTGGTCATCGAGAGTTGACGGGAAAAGATGGATTGAATTCACGGTTGCACCATCCCACTTGAAAGTCCGCAGACACTTAGTACTACAAGCATCCCATACCTTGACTGTGGAATCACTGGATGCGGTTATAACCAGAGAGTCGTCCTTTGAAAATCTTGCGTCGTTCACGAAAGAAGTATGACCGCGGAATTCCTTGAGCAGTTTTACTGTCAAAAAATCATGGATTCTCGCAGTGCCGTCGAGGGATGCAGTCAGTACGTATGCGCCAGTGCGGGAGAATGAAACGCTTTTACACCCTGAGAGTGTGCGCGCGGAATGATCCAGAAGCAATGACCAGTGTACATCGACCAAGCCTTAACTGAACCATCTTTTGAACCAGTTGCAAGCATCTGAGAGTTTTTACTGAAATCGAGACACTGGACACCGTCATGCGTCATAAATTCTATATCAGCTTGGAGATATTCAAATTGGACTAGTTCCCCCTTTGTGGGGTTCCAAACGTAAATATATCCATCGGCTGAGCCGGAAACAAGAAATTGTCCATCCGGTGAGAACCGACAACACAGCGGATGACAATACTTGGCAAAATCTATGCTATGTACAAGCCTAGTAGGACACGTATCTTCAGAATCTTGAATGATAGCAGGTCTTCCTCTCAAGAAATCAAACTTTGTTTCGAACAAAAGTAAATGATGTTGACTATACCAAAGCAAAGCCTCACCAATAAGGCACTTCAGTCGTGAAGGTGGAAACGAAGAGACATGGTAGGAAAGAGCTCGAGCAATTTCAGCACGCCTTTTCTCATTACTGGAATGTTCCTGATCATGGTAGACCTCCCGGGGGTCAAAAATTGGCTGATCAAGCAGACGTTCAAGTCTCGAGAATCGTTCGGTTGCGCCGTTTTCATGGCCCTCAGGACTTGGGTTTGGCATAATAGATCGCGTGCAGTGTCCCTCTCCTCAAGTTGAACCATCTCCAGAACAATCTGTTCATACAAATCTTGCAGCAAATTTGTTGGTTGCTCAAGTTGCGAGAGTTGGTGTAACACAGCATCCCACCTTCCACTTTTAATATCAGCAATAAAGTTTTCGAGGTTGTCTACGGCATTAAGAGAAACCTGACACTCTCTTTGTAGCGTCTGGAAAGTTTCATGCAAAGAATTCTCTTTGCAAAATTGAAGAAACAACCTCACCACATCGTTATTATCAACGCGGGTAGCCATTAATGGTTACCGAGACAAAAACAACTAACGACTGCTACTTGCTATGACTCCGAATCCCGTCGGAGCGATCCAATTAAGGAACAAAAGACCTACTTGCGATCTGACAATTTTTCTGTTTGTGTGCTAAACCTTTGATATTATCGATGGGTCTGT